ATGGTTATGTTAAAAACCAGTTACTGACCAGTTTACACGGCAAATCTTGACCGTGTAGTTACAAATAACGCCTTAACGGTTTAACAAATTATTACATAACTGAAATATTCATATATATTTTTTTTTAGTTTCTACAAATTCACATTTAACTAGTCTACTGCATGTACACTCCGTTTATATATGATGTATTATATATATGCACGGAGGACATATAACTGTAATATGGATTTGTTTTTATCAAGGTCAGCTCGATTGTTTGATTGAACTTGACCCGAACAATACGGGATGTTACCTGATCTTAGCCGTGAAAAATAGGCTGTAAAAACGTGTACATGTGGAACAACAGTAAAACACCGTAAAAACCTAGTAAGCATGCGTTTATGACAATATATCTATACACATTAACATGTACACGATATGCAGTCACATATATGGAGAATTGTTATCAAAGTTGATAACATACAAAATAATAAACATTGAGACAATTTTTATCTTTCTTACCTGTATGTGCAAGGTAATCCGGGCAAACGCTATATCTGTTATATATCAGCAAATCTCGTTCAGTCTCGCGTGAAAGAATGTTTTTTCAAACCACGTGAAGCGTTTGTTGAGGTTATTTTCCCACCAAAATACTTCTTTTATCAGTATGAATGGAGGGTTCTCTCCGGTGTTTGAACAATGATCTAATAATCGATTTTGCAACTTTTGAAAATATTATCAAAGCTTTAAAATATTAGTATTCAATAGCTTAACAAACTTAATTTCCTGTGAACTTTAGAAAAAAACTTATTGATCGTATCATTATGTATTGAATTGATTTTTTAATTGTTTGTTTTTTCTTTATTGCACATTATGTGACTTTATATTGTATTTAAACGTGTATGTTATCCCGATGTGCCATCGTATGTGCGTACACGTTATGAAACTGTTTTGACCACAAATATGTGTCATACAGTTGACTTACCACTTTTCCCGCTATTACATCACCATTTATCGACATTTAACAGCTCTAGATCAAATATATAAGAATAATAAGCATGTGCTGCGTGCCTGCACCAGCCACTCAAACTTGTGACTCTGAGCACAGGTCGACCGTCACTTACTACTCTTAGCCCCCTGTACAACCGCATACTTTTTACTGTGGTATTTTTCATTTACAATGTGTTTAAATATTTGATACATGATTGCGATTCAATTGCCTTCTTTTTCGAATAAAAAGATACATACACATGTAATTATGTATTTAGTAAAGGGATGCAACTCGCCATCATTTTCCAGCACGCACTCATCTAAGTACAAACGTCCGAAATACCAGTAATGATGTATTAACTTCATGAATTCCCGATTTTATCTTCACAATTTCAACTTCGAGAATTCACGATTTCAACTTCACGAGATCACGATTTCAACTTCACGGGTTCACGTTTTCAACTTCATAAATTCACAATTTCAACTTCACGAATTCATGAAGTTGAAATCGTTAATTTAAGAAGTAGAAATCGTGAATTTTACGAATTTGAATTGTGAATTCACGAATATGAAATCGCGAATTCATGGAGTTGAAATATCCCCACCGGTCTTTCGCCATAAATCCAACATTTATTCACCAAGTTGCCAATTGTTGAAGCTGTCATTTCAAATATTTCAAGTATCAAGTAGATATGCAATTTTCAAGTCTCCATAAGTATAGAACAGCTAGATTTTTAAAAAGAATTTTTCGACTGAAGGGCAGTTTAAAGGCACTTTATGCCGAAAGTTCTTCTGTAGGAAGGGCAAACATGTAATTTATCATGTTGTATGATGACCTTTTTTCATTCCTTTTATCCAGAAAAATAACATAATTTAAAGCTCCAGAAAATAAAAGTTCTAATGTAAGAAAAACAAAAATGTAAATATGTTAAGTTTTTGTATATATTTTGTTTTATTTTTCATACAATCTAAAATTAATCAACACATATAAAGAATTTCATTCATATTTCATATATCAATTTTTTCCGGCTAATATATTCTTACTTTTAGACACAGTAGTAAAAATAAATTATTTATTGTTTTCTTTGAAATTTTCTTTAAAAAAAAAACAACAGGAAATTAAAAGTTTTTTTTAAAAAATAAATATGTATTTCTGATGTATATACACCTCTGCACCATTACTGTTATATTTCTTTTCTGTTTTTATGTGCTCCATAACATAATACTTATATTTGCTCATTAGTAATTACTATACTTATTTATTTGCATAATGCTTCCAAAGTATTCATTTTTATTTGTAAATTAGCAGTAAATTTCTTAATATATTATTTAAATTATTATATTATGGAGAAGAATGTTTTAATAGAAATTTATACAATAAATAAAGCTCTTTTATTACAAATAAACTGATTTTAAGTTGAAAATCTTCTTTACTTTATTGATAATAAATCAGTCCAACATGTTGCCATAGTGATGAAATTTACACCACTGATTAGGTAATTTTATTGCCACTATTTATGTGTCATTTCAGCTTGATTGGATTAAAAATGAGATTGCCAGAGGCAAATTACATAATGCACCCCCTATTATTTATGACCTGTCAATAAAACAGTGCAATATCCCTCAGGGAGACAGGTTAGATAAAATCAATAAGGTACCTAGGAGTTGGCTTATCAGTTATCAGTAGGGTTTAAGTGGTAGATAGTGTACAGGGCTGAATGAGTTAACATATTTAGAACATATATTATATAGAACATGTGAAATGTTAAACACTTAAAGAAAACTGAGAATGAAAAATAATGTATGATTCATGTTGCAAAATGTAAATAAAGTGGTATTTTGACTTCCATACAAAATACTTAATCACTGTAACTCTACATATTGCCAAAATGCAAAAGAAGCAAAAGATTTCTCTGGTATATGGCAAAAAAAGAGTAACTTTTTGGAAACTAAAATAAAAAGCTTTTGAATGAAAAAAATTATAGCGTTTTAGGCTTCATGGGCCTTTAATTGAATTGAGGATATTTTTGTGATTGATTTCTTCACTGAGTAAGACAAGTATCAAATGATAACAGGGGTACATCTTTTAAAAGGTTTATTGTGCAATACTACATGAATAAAAAACGAACATAGATAAAAACACTATTCCTACCTATAATTTAACATAATTTTATTAAAAAAAAACAATATATGTAAAGGAAACACACACGCATATCTCTCTATAGAAATGCTCGAACCCTGCAAGCTGAGTGCTGGTATCGACTATAAACACAGTGCCAATGACCGACCTAAACATAATCTGGCTACGTATCATAAAATGTGCCGCGTCACGACAAAACCAACATAATGCGTTTGCAACCAGCATGGATCCAGACCAGCCTGCGCATCCGCGCAGTCTGATCAGGATCCATGCTGTTCGCTTACAAACCCTATAACAAGTAGAGAAACAGATAGCGAACAGCATGGATCCTGATCAGACTGCGCGGAAGCGCAGGCTGGTCTGGATCCATGCTGGTCGCAAACCCATTATGTTGGTTTTGTCGTGACACGGCTCAAATACCAAACTATTAAAATGAGTAATCCATGAAACAAAAAGTGCACAAGTTCGATAAACACTGTTTTACACAAGTCAGTACACATATTTGTAATTATTTTTGAACAGAAAATTGATATAAAAATAAAACCCAGCAAAAAAATCCGAACAAAAATACTTTAATCTTATTGCCAAAACACATAAGAAACCGGATTGAATGACTTTTAGGAAATTATGACAAGACACCAAAAACCAGAAGATTTTGAAACTGAAAATTTTAGCAATTTCTTTTAGGCTTTATGGGCCTTTAAAGTTTGTATTTCATGTGTGGAATGTATCATGTCATTATATCACTATTTAAAAATAAAACAGACATGAAAAATACATTCATATATACACAACATCCGGTATGTTCATTTAATAAAGCCAACAACATTTCAAGCACTGAGTCATAAAAGTATATCCATTGATACAAATATGAACATTAATATAGGTAAAAAAAGAAAGTGTATCTTATATTATGATGAAAAATATATACATGTTTGCCATTGGCCCAGAATCAGTCACTTGAAAAATAAAACATATATATACTAGTATACATATGAAAATAATATATTATATATTATTATATTCTTTCTACATGAAGATATGTGACCAAATCAACTGGCAACTCATTTCTAAAGAATTGACCTGCTGAATTTGTAGAATGGAATCGCCCTGCTTCTAATCTGGAACGTTCTTTTATATGTTTCAGGGATGTTTAATAAGAAAACACAGAAAATTGAGCTACCTAGAGTAAAGCACCTTGCCAGACTACAAGGATGTGCAGGACAGTCTGGTTCTATTTTTAGGGCTTTATAGGCCCTGGCCTACAGGTCTTATTTGAGATTTTTTTATCTGATTTGCAGAATGAAAAGGCAGCATGTCAGTGTACCAAAGTTCAAAAGGTTTGTTATAACATGCCTTCATTTTTTTTAATTATGCTATTTTGGAGACATTATAAACTGGCAAACTACTACTTAAAAACATAAACATTTATACATTGTATATATATTTCTTGCAATATCTTATCGACTAAAACACGTGTTCGTTATTGCAATCACTCACTTGAAAAATTCTATTAAATCCGCTTTCATATTAAGTAGAACATTGCTATTCTGTTATTAGTTCATATCAAATACATAATATACTGTATACTTTTAAGAAGTATTAAGTGTACATAGATTTGTGTATAATGTTTAAAACAGAAGCAGCAGGGTAGACAACTCTTGTAGCAGACGACATTTTTCAATACGAATATTTATGTTGCATTGTATCCCCTGTTTTATTTTATCTATTTTTTTGAGTGTGCAAAATTACAAAAGTAAATAAAAAACGTTAACAAATACACCGATTCCCATGCGGCACACAATAAAAAATAATATATATCAAATAATTATATTTAACTTATTATTACCTATATTGATAACTATATAAATTCTTTATAAGCAGCGGCAGGATTATTGCTTATATTCTAATGCTATAATTTGTTATTGTCAAACCATTTATTTCGCAAATATATCTATTATTATTGTCTTTTAATTTATTATGTTTACTTTCGTATTAAACTTATTGTAAAACACATCTTGAGACATATTCGGATGTAACACTAAAATCGGATAAAACTGTATTATAATCGTACATGTATACCAAGTACATTGTAACCTCTGCCACGTCATAATCTCTAAAACATAAACATCAGCAATATCTTTTCAATCCAAATTAAGACTTCATAACAACTTTAACCTCTCTTAAGAAAGATCTCTCAACAAAAAACAAAATCTTTGTCTCAATCTCACAAAGGGTGTTGTTCAGCACAGGTTGCACTGTCATTGATTTTATGTCATCAAATTAACGCATAATTTTGATAAAGTTATTTCATTGTGTTGTTATTCTCCTGTCTCACAAAAAACATTTGAGCCGTGCCATGACAAAACCAACATAATGGGTTTGCGACCAGCATGGATCCAGACCAGCCTGCGCATCTGCGCAGTCTGACCAGGATCCATGCTGTTCGCTTACAAACCAAATTACAAGTACAGATTCTGACAGCGAACAGCATGGATCCTGATCTGCACGGATGCGCAGGCTAGTCTGGATCGATGCTGGTCGCAAACCCATTATGTTGGTTTTGTCATGGCACGACTCATTTAAATTTATCAAATTTGTTACTGTAGGGGTTTTTCTTCAGTTTAATTTTCCACAGGCACACTATGGACCAGTCTGCACATAATTGCACACTAACCATGGACCAGCCTGTGCATACTTGCACTCTAACCACAGGCCAGTCTGTGCATTTATCACTTGCACTATTAATAATAATGGCTGCCCAAATTCATGATTTAGGTTTATACAAAATTTATTTTATTTCGATTGTGTAGGAAGCTATAAGTTTATAGACACGCTTTCGAATCTGTTCCTGGAACCAACCAGTACTGAGCAATGAGTGTAAAGTCTCTTGCCCAAGGAAACAACGACTTGCCCCTGACAGGGTTTGAACCAGTGCGGCTAGCGATCATTAGTTTACTAGTCTGATGCCACTCGACCATGCCGCCACTTTGATTCACTTTTTGACACTGAAACTCATTTAAATCAAACTCACTGCTGGACAAATCCATTATACAAATTCTTAATTTAGGAAGTGAAAGCTTTAGATACGATATTATATTGTTTACATACATGTATACATACCATAATGTTGATATATACATTTTATTGCCATTTACTCCAGTGTCATTCGTGTTATTTTAATAACAGAGAGGAGAATAAGTTTTAAAAATAAGAAATAATAATTTAAGTAAAAATTAATCACGTTGTGGTGCAGTTGGTAGTTTAGCCTCCGGATCAAGGCAGTAAGCCACTTTGAATTCATCAGAGGGAAACCAAAATTATTGACATTATCTGTGACATGTTTAAAGGGACTCCACTGAGGTTTTTTTACGTGAAGGGACCGAAAATATTTTTTCAAGATTTTTGTATAACTAGATTTACGTCTGGACCAATAACTCGTGTACAAAATTTCAGATCATTCGCTCACTCCGTTTCCTAGAAAGAGTCAATTTTAAATGATGACAATTGACCCAAAAATGAAAACCGTTGCAACGCTTTTCACTCAAATCGACCATATATCGCATAAAATCGATTATTAATTTAATACCGAGTATCTATTGCTTGGTTTTCAAATTTAAGGGTACCAGTTGGTTTAAGAAAGAATTTCAAATTTTATTATTTTAGGCTATTGGACCTCAGTGGAGTTCCTTTAATACATAAATAGTAAACAATGATGTTCAGCGATTGTTAAAATATGTACTTGCCATAAATATATATGCCATTTATATTCTCAAAAGATCAAGGCATTTTATGTGAAGAGATATGTACATGTTAAGTTTCCCAGCCATATAATAGTTTAGCAAACTGAGAAATGAAGGGAGATCATCGGCGCTGACCTAATAGTGCCCATTATTAAGATAATTACCTCCCTTTAAACACCAATCTGGTTAATTTCGTAATACTGTATTTTTTTTTGTAAATCAACATTTGTCATTATATAGAATCACATATGAAACCGTCAAATGATATTTATTCCATTTTCAAAAACACCTACATACAACATATATTATTACCGCAATTTACAACATATTCCTACATTTTCAGACGAATTGAATCTATCCGAAATACTACACAGTATAATAATGACTGATTCGATATCTTCAGGAAATCTTCATTTTAGCAAATTAATTTGCATAAACATTTGCATATTGACATTTCTATACAAATACATTTCTTTAAAATTGCACAAAATCATGTAGAGCTATATGTCTACTCCAAATATACATGCATGTATATGAAATTTACATTCTCACATTCATATTTTTAAACATAAATTTAAGATTACCTCTATTTTCAAATCATACAAATACAAATGATGCACCAGTCATTTGCAACCCTGCCCCTCCCACAACCCCAAAGATTAGTGGGGACCTTGACTTTTGGACATTAAAAAATCCTGGTAACAGACATATCCCCGACTTCTTTGGCGCCAGAACAAAATAAGAGCATTGTCCAAATGAGGTACAGACAGACAGAATATAACCAAAGCTTGCCTCATCCCCCCCCGCTACCCACTTTACTTTCCCGAGGGTGGGGTCGGGGTTACTAACGACTGGTGTATACAACATCAAATCGATTTGTGTATCATTTTTTCATGCTCTGGAATAAATGTAACAATAAATCCCTAACAATATCATCAGACCAACATATACCGGAAGAAAACCGCACAAAGGAATGACAAAGAGATCTCTTAAAAAATCTAACATCTGGCGTAAACGTTCATATGAATCAAATTTTTAAATAATATGCATACAACAAACTTAGTTTTTAGGTAACAAATGTAGTTGTTTGAAATGCAGGAACTATTGTACAACGAGAAGCCATATTTTGTCAAATATGTAGGCCCTTTTCTCAACAAAAAACCGCCTAAATATAGGATTAATCAAAAGACTAATACCTTAGACTTTATAGAAAAATTATATGTTTTGTTATAGAAAAAACTTCAACATAAGTCTACACAGTTTAATTTCAATTCTAACTTTCTGTTTCCGATGGTTCAGGCGTTCCCGGCACAATCACTACTTCCGGTGGATCTAGTTTAGATCCTTCCGCGCCGCCATCTTTTGGTGAGTCTTCGCCGCCATGTTTTTCGCGTGCTTGATCACTTTTGTCGTCCTCGGCGAGAGTTTCATTGGCTAATTCAAATGTTTCATGATCGGACTCTTTCGTTAGCGGAACAGTAACATCTGAATCACGTGCAGGAATTTGTTCTTCGTTAGTGTCTGTTTTACGATAAACTGCTTCCGGTTCGTCTGATGATTGAGCGGCTTTCTGTCTGATGTGAAGTTTTTTGCGGAATGATGAAATTATACTGCCTAAAATAGGAAGAAATCGAGATAAATACATTTCCCTTCCTAACATAAGCATAATTTCTTAATTAAATAATTAAAAAAAATATTTCGTCCAAAAATTGACAAAAACAAGAAAGTCAAAAATTTCATTCAAAATAGAATTGAAGAGTATAATCGACTAGAAATTTATTTTCTAAAATGTTCTCATTTGTTCGAATTTAATTCTAGCTTAAAGTGTTATACTATACCATGCAATGAGTTAAGCTGCTTGAAAAGATATTTTGTACATGTATATATACTAAGCAGTGCATCTCACTTTTTTCTTTTGGATTTTAAATTGTTAATCATATGTGGTTTCACTTACCCCATTCATGTACCACATTGTCAACAGGGTATAAATGGTACCTTTTAATTTTTTCAGAAAAAACTATTTCTAAATTGCCCCGTTTTGGGAAAAGAATCTGATAGAATTTATCATATCCGGTGTGTTGGGAAGGCGAGTATAAATGTCATTATAACGGTAGGAGAGAAAGTCAGTTAGAAGAATGGAGAAATTGGAAAAAGTGTCAGTGAAACAGGAGAGTAAGTCAGTGTGAAAAATGGAGAAAGTGGAAAAAGTGTCAGTGAAAAAGGAGAGTAAGTCAGTGTGAAAAATGGAGAAAGTGGAAAAAGTGTCAGTGAAACAGGAGAGTAAGTCAGTGTGGAGAATGGAGAAAGTGGAAAAAGTGTCAGTGAAACAGGAGAGTAAGTCAGTGTGAAAAAGGAGAAAGTGGAAAAAGTGTCAGTGAAACAGGAGAGTAAGTCAGTGTGGAGAATGGAGAAAGTGGAAAAAGTGTCAGTGAAACAGGAGAGTAAGTCAGTGTGAAAAATGGAGAAAGTGGAAAAAAGTGTCAGTGAAACAGGAGAGTAAGTCAGTGTGAAAAATGGAGAAAGTGGAAAAGGTGTCAGTGAAACAGGAGAGTAAGTCAGTGTGGAGAATGGAGAAAGTGGAAAAAGTGTCAGTGAAACAGGAGAGTAAGTCAGTGTGAAAAATGGAGAAAGTGGAAAAAGTGTCAGTGAAACAGGAGAGTAAGTCAGTGTGGAGAATGGAGAAAGTGCAAAAAGTGTCAGTGAAACAGGAGAGTAAGTCAGTGTGAAAAATGGAGAAAGTGGAAAAAGTGTCAGTGAAACAGGAGAGTAAGTCAGTGTGGAGAATGGAGAAAGTGGAAAAAGTGTCAGTGAAACAGGAGAGTAAGTCAGTGTGGAGAATGGAGAAAGTGGAAAAAGTGTCAGTGAAACAGGAGAGTAAGTCAGTGTGAAAAATGGAGAAAGTCGAAAAAGTGTCAGTGAAACAGGAGAGTAAGTCAGTGTGCAAAATGGAGAAAAAGGAAAAAATGTCAGTGAAACAGGAGAGAATGTCAGTGTGCAAAATGGAGAAAGTGGAAAAAGTGTCAGTGAAACAGGAGAGTATGTCATTGTGCAAAATGGAGAAAGTGGAAAAAGTGTCTGTGAAACAGGAGAGTAAGTCAGTGTGAAGAATGGAGAAAGTGGAAAAAGTGTCAGTGAGTGTGAAGAATGGAGAAAGTGGATAAAGTGTCAGTGAAACAGGAGAGTTTATCAGTGTGAGGAATTCAGAAAGTGGAAAAAGTGTCAGTGAAACAGGAGAGTAAGTCAGTGTGAAGAATGGAGAAAGTGGAAAAAGTGTCAGTGAAACAGGAGAGTAAGTCAGTGTGAAGAATGGAGAAAGTGGAAAAGTGTCAGTTAGACAGGAGAGTAAGTCAGTGTGCAAAATGGAGAAAGTGGAAAAAGTGTCAGTGAAACAGGAGAGTAAGTCACAGGTAGAATGAAGAATGTTGAAAAGTGTCAGTTAGTCTGGACAGTATGTCAGTGATTAGATTTGAGAAAGTTGAGGAAGTGTCAGTGAGACAGGAGAGTGTGTCAGTGTAAAGAATGGAGAAAGTGAAAAAAGTGTCAGTGAAACAGGAGAGTAAGTCAGTGTGAAAAATGGAGAAAGTGGAAAAAGTGTCAGTGAAACAGGAGAGTAAGTCAGTGTGGAGAATGGAGAAAGTGCAAAAAGTGTCAGTGAAACAGGAGAGTAAGTCAGTGTGAAAAATGGAGAAAGTGGAAAAAGTGTCAGTGAAACAGGAGAGTAAGTCAGTGTGGAGAATGGAGAAAGTGGAAAAAGTGTCAGTGAAACAGGAGAGTAAGTCAGTGTGAAAAATGGAGAAAGTCGAAAAAGTGTCAGTGAAACAGGAGAGTAAGTCAGTGTGCAAAATGGAGAAAAAGGAAAAAATGTCAGTGAAACAGGAGAGAATGTCAGTGTGCAAAATGGAGAAAGTGGAAAAAGTGTCAGTGAAACAGGAGAGTATGTCATTGTGCAAAATGGAGAAAGTGGAAAAAGTGTCTGTGAAACAGGAGAGTAAGTCAGTGTGAAGAATGGAGAAAGTGGAAAAAGTGTCAGTGAGTGTGAAGAATGGAGAAAGTGGATAAAGTGTCAGTGAAACAGGAGAGTTTATCAGTGTGAGGAATTCAGAAAGTGGAAAAAGTGTCAGTGAAACAGGAGAGTAAGTCAGTGTGAAGAATGGAGAAAGTGGAAAAAGTGTCAGTGAAACAGGAGAGTAAGTCAGTGTGAAGAATGGAGAAAGTGGAAAAGTGTCAGTTAGAAAGGAGAGTAAGTCAGTGTGCAAAATGGAGAAAGTGGAAAAAGTGTCAGTGAAACAGGAGAGTAAGTCACAGGTAGAATGAAGAATGTTGAAAAGTGTCAGTTAGTCTGGAGAGTATGTCAGTGATTAGATTTGAGAAAGTTGAGGAAGTGTCAGTGAGACAGGAGAGTGTGTCAGTGTAAAGAATGGAGAAAGTGAAAAAAGAGTTAGTGAGACAGGACAGTATGCCAGTATGAAGACTGGAGAAAGTAGAATAAGTGTCTGTGAGACCGGAGAGTGAGTCAGGGTGTAGAATGGAGAAAGTGGACAAAAAGTGTTTGTGAGACAGGGGAGAATGTCGGTGTGTAGAATGAAGATATTGGAAAAACTGTCAATGAGACGGGAGAGTAAGTTAATGTGTAGAATGGAGAAAGTGGAAAAAGTGGCAGTGAGACAGGAGAGTATACCAGTATGAAGAATGGAGAAAGTGAAAGGGGAGTATATCAGTGTGAAGAATGGAGAAAGTGAAAGGAGAGTTTATCAGTGTGAAGAATGGAGAAAGTGGAAAAAGTGTCTGTGAGACAGGAGATCAAGTTAGTGTGTGGAATGGACAAAGTTGAAAAAAGTGTCAAGTGACAATTTTTTTATACGAATCGACAAGATTGAAATAGAACAAAACAAAGAACTGGTAATTTCTGCATTGGTTCAAATCATGAAACATAACTAAATCAAAGCTTAATAAATCAATCTTTTAGACATCCAAATCAGTTTTCTTCCTTTAAAACTTAAAACGTTATTGATTTTGGTAATAAAAGACTTAGAGTTAAAGGAAAACAAAGAAAATTTAAGCCTCTAGCGAATTTATTTCCGCCTTTTCCAAATGTAGCATTACATCGTTACAGGGTCCAATCTGCATTTTCATGTGCAAGTTAGATTTATTTGTCGTGCATAGTTAATCGCTTTTGCCTGAATAAACTCCTTTGCATGCTATGTCATGCAAAGCCAAACGCTTGTTACATGAAAATAAATGTGCGGATGATAATATGTTGCATGATGGGTAAAGAGTGTGCGATAGAACGATACCAGTCTCGAGCAAAGTTGATGTTCTTTCACAATCGGAACATCTCGGATAACTTCATTAAGTCTATCTTACGGAGAAAGCCTATTTGTTACGTGGGTTTTCACTTCCGCAAAAAGGCAGAACAATGCAGATCTGGAGTTTTTATTGAAACTATTATGGAAGGGTGAGGATGACAGAATGATACACACAAGAAAGAAACTGTGCGATGATTTGAAATAAAACTCATCGTAATAAGAAGTTACCGCCGGATTCTATAGCTATAAACTGACGGTATTTTCGGATAGACTAATTTTTCGGACAAAGTCGAATTAATATATTTTCTTTTTTTTTTGATTATATCAGCGTAACTGATATTTGTTTGTTAAAATTGATTTATAAAAGTAGATAAATCCCATTTAATTTTAATCCTGTTAATCATTATTAAATAAATTCAGCCAGCGTTATTCGCTCATAGCCAATAAAACGCTTTTAATACATCCGGCGGAACCCATATCCGAAAATAAAAATGTTTCACACTTCGAATAGCTTACTGAATACGTCTGATACTTTATCCTGATGCATCATGGTTGTTATTAGAAATTAAGATAAAATGTAAAATATGAGAATAAAAATTGCATAAATATCACACCTTTTATCCCACATAACACATTATCAAACGCAACATTATTTTCTATGTAACACATATGGGGTACATATGGATATATGATGTAAAACATGAATGCCAACCCTTAGCCTGCTTGGACAGGAAGTAATTAACCTTTGCCACCAGGATAGAGCAGGTCCAGTCTTTGTAACCCGACCATGCTCTGTATGGTCCTGGTGGCACAGTGTATTTTGACATTGAAATCCGTTGAAATTCGAATGAACTACATGTATTCCAAATTCTAAGTAGACCAGCACAAATCTATTATAGAAATTCAGCAGGTTAAGGGAAGAATGAGAGTATTATATGAAAGCTTGATGCATGGGGACAACATTAAAAATATGTGGGAGGTAGGGGGACGCAGCATGGCTACCTGCTTATACATTTTCAGCGGGGTTTTCACTCTTTAGTTGTTGAGACTTGACTTTAAAGTTAAAAATTGGGTGCCCTATATGTAGAAAATAAAATAAAACACAAAAATTGTTATTTTCTACAGAATTATAAAGAAAAAACTTAACGCACACATGCCAAGCCTGTTCTAAAACCAGAACTTATCTTATATTTGTCATTTTTTAATGATTATACATGTGTCACCATCTATAGCCGCAAGGCAGGCTTATTATGAATCTATATTTGGTATTCTCTCTTATAATAATTACCAGAACAAAAATTAATCTACTCATTATATCAAGGGACAAATTGCTTTTGCTTAAATATCCTGTAAAACTCTTGAAGGCCTAAATCATTTCAAGAAAACGTTTAAATCAGAATGAAGTAAATGTTTAAAAAGGTTATTTACTACTAGTGCCAAAAGCAAGAAGTTAAAAGCAATGTTCTTTTTTTTCTGTTTAAGAAAGCTTATTTCAAAGCCAAAAGACTTACATTAACGATGCATCACATGCTTAAGCTCTTTAGAACATGTTCCATCATTTTATGTACTTGCTTGATTGAAATCATTGATTATAATTTTTAATAAATTAAAAATAAATCAATAAAACCCCTATACATCATTGGTTACCTTTCTTATGAGTATTGCTGCTTGATTGTCGGGTGCCTCTGTCCGACGACGAGGAAGAAGGTCCGCCGGAAACTGCTTGGTGCTTAGTGTAACACCAGGCTACAAATAGGACAATAAGGAAGACACAAGCTAAAGATATGCCAACTGCGATGCCCTCCACATACGTCTGATGTTCGTCTTTTTCAGATGTTTTTCTAGAAGCGTAGTACTCTGTCAATTAAAGATAATTAATATGTTCATTAATTTTTAAGTTTCCTATTGAAAAACAAGAACAACAAGGTAATCTATAAAAACAACAATCCGTGTTAAACACGATTGAAAATCAAAACGCAAAAACAAATTGTTCTATGGGTGCGAGGGTGATAGAGGACGAATGTTGTCGTCTGCAACGATCGTCTATGATATGTATCTTGTAAGTGTCAATTTGTTTTTCCAGAATTTTCCGGAATACGTATTTTTACTAAAATGTCTTCACACTCATTGGTAGACAGTGCTTGACAAATTATAGAGATTTTGTCCAGTTTAAGTGGTACCTTTACGTAATACACGCTACAATGTACCGTGAAACAAAACAGATCAGACTATTAAATAGATAGCTATCAAAGTCACGTAAAATCTCAAGAGAAATAAAGCGATTTTACGATAATTTATGTCACAGACGTAGACAATTTTCTTACATTATTTATTTAATAAGCGTCTGAAATGTAAAGTTCTTCGGACAGTCTAACTAGTGTCTGTAAATGCCATTAAAAATGGTTATATATCTTTCCTTTTTTTCCCTTTTTGCATACACGCTTCGGGAGAGCTTCTTAGTATGATATTGTGTGATTTATATATAACATTTAAAGCTACATGCCTCCAAACTTAAAAAAAAATTACTTAAACTTAAGAAATGTAAAAATATTAAAGATTCAAGTAATTATTGACATGTTTTATGTGTTAATGACTGATTTTTTTCAATATTATGACTATACTTCTACTGTGTTACTAACGCAGTAAGGGCTTTTTTGCATATTTTTTTTTTACCTCATTTAAGTAATTTACATGAGTTGTAAATGAAATTAATAAGGTGTAAATTGCTTCCTTTTGGTCACTTCACATTAATATACCTTTAAACATATTTTAAAAATTTTCATGAAAATTAGCATTTATCTGGAGGCGTGCTGCTTTAACGCCCTCTGTGACAATTTCCGTTCACTTTACTATCATTAGTCTATAATTATTCTCACCAATACATTTAAATAGAGATATCTCATTTCACGGAGAAGGAATAATGGCCACGAAGATGTCTAGAACATTCCGAAACAATTATTGAAACAATCGACCAATCAATTATGATCGTGATTAAATGTGTACAGAAATAAGTAAGATTTATTTGATTAGGCTGGTCCCCATGCACATCTTTTTATCTATGGCCAGCCATTTTGAATGGGAACCAGTGTATTACTTGTAGAAGGAGAAACAGAACCTTGCTACAGCGGACTCAATTTTTTTAGTATCGGATTGATACATACTTACGCAATTTGCTCATCAATAAAGGCATCCCAAGGGAGGTAACTCCGCTTGGAAAGTTTGCATAATTCATTAGTAAGAAATCGCTCCAATTAACATTTTTTTGTTCGCAGAAGCATGCAATGCTGATGAATAGTTCCAGAAGAAATTTGTGACGTTGAAATGGTAGGTATTTAGTTGTTGTACTAGAAACGGACAATTTAAAGGCATTTATTTGCTTATTGGCCGACTTTTATGTCAACATTTGTTACTAGTGAGTAGGTATTGCCAATGTTAGCATTTATTTACTTAAATAAGATTGTAATACAGAAGCTTTCCGTTTGGTTTTATTTAAACTTTGAAAAAAAGTTTATAATTTTGTAACAATCAATGCTGCTGCATCAACTTGTCTTTAACCCCATTATCCTCACATATGACCTCAAAACAAATAAACTAACAATGCAATGAAATTCGAAATTTCAATTTAAGTGTGCTTTTTTTGTATGACTTTTAAACGTTTATGGTGTCGCTATTATATGTGATCAATGTAATACTACAGTAGTTATCCAGAGCAAGAGTACCCCTTATCACCATTAAAATATGCCACACAAGTAAACATGAATATCTAAAATTTCCCTGAAAACGCATTACAAAATGGACTTAAAACGATAGAAACTTTTGATATTGGATTCTTATAAATTCATAAGAACAAACAACGCAAAGTTCCAATTTTTAAGTCAGTTTCACAAATTATTGGACGGTGTTTTGGTAAAATTGAATACCTTCACTATGGTCCCTGACCTTGTCTTTGGTACACCTTGCCGAGATGTCCAGATCGAACTCGTACAGCGGGTTCTCATCAACGTAAGAATACTTGTAGGTTTCGATCACTTCCAGCCTAACAGAGCCAACATCCCAACAGAACGCATCTTTACTCTGATCGTGGCAATTGTACTCCTGTAATTTTAATTGAGAAATTTTCAGACTGAAATTTTATTCAAAACAAACTTAATTTTAGGACAGTCTCGTACTCCGAGAGAACGTGCGAGCTGTCATAACGTTTTAATTTTGTTTTACGCTGCACAACCACAGTTTAGTTCATATCTTTACGGATGAGGGAAGACCTCAAATAGAGTAGAACCACTGACGTTCCGTACGCTAGCCGGATAGCTTTTTAACTTGAAAGAATCCAACTTCCCTGGCAGGATTCGAACCCGCAGCGGTGTGGGGTAAGACTGATGTGGTTTTGAAGTCAGTGACCTTAGCCACTCGGCCACAGACGCCCCTACGAACTGACAAAAAGAAGTAAGGACGAAATAAAGAAGGACGACCAATAAAAGAATGGTGGACGAAATATAAAAAGGGCGTGTGAGATAAAGGATGCGCGCGAGTTATAGGGTGCGTATAAAAAGGGCGTGTGAGATAAAGGGTGCGCGCGAGTTATAGGGTGCGAGCGAGAGATAAAGGAGAGACGATATAAAAGGGCGGACGACAAAAGGAAACGGCGGGGGATATAAAATGGAAGCTTAAAAATGATAAAAAAATCAGTAGAAAAACGGAGGAAGTAATGAAATAATACAAGCGAGGTATTGTTGTTAACTAGCAATATCTATAATCCGGAATCATGGTCAATATTTCCAGGAACCCGGGGCAAAAATAGTGATTAATCTTGGGGGGGGGGGGGGGGCGGTTTTTATTATAAAAATATTTTTTTATCAAAAGATACACATGTAATCGTGTTATACATCCATTCACCTTATCACCTATAAATGGCATAACATTAATATTATTAACAAAACAGCCTTTCAGTAATGAAATACATGTATTCAGTTTACCTTGACTAAATCTCCTCCTTTCCGGAACTTGTGACCTACAAATTTGACCTTTGCCTGACACGAATGTATATACGCTTTCTTATACGTCACGCATATGGCGTCACAGACGTAGCCATCTTTTTCTCTCGGCGTGAACACGGTAACGCCGCAGTAGCCAGCCGGTGCCAAACCATTTGATTGTAAGTTCACTTCATGTGATGGACCAAGTTCGACAACTTTCCCACATTCTGGTGTCTTTCTCTTGTCCATGCTCACTGAAAACATTATTTATATCATAATTATGTCATATTTATATTATCTAAAAGGCAACATTTAAAATTAAGGTATGTTATTTGTGTTTACGATTGTGTTTCTTCGTCAGTACCTTCTGTAAATAAAGGCATCATTATTATTATGACTACATATCTTCGCTTTGGAAAGTTTTAGGTTAGTTTGATAATATCTATAAGCTCGCATGTCCTGGAACTAACTAGTTCTGGTGTCATCATCATTATTATTATTAATATCATTATAAAGCCTAATTATATGGGTTAATGAGTACTAAATTTGACATTTAAATAAAATTGTATAATAGTTTGGGGACCTTTCTGTTGAAAATATGTCAGTGTTAAATCGTATACATAAATGCACAGTGCGTTAACTGGAGTGCGGTATTAAAGTTACCCGCACTCCGGAGCATGCCCATTGATTGGTTCATTTTTGCTGGGGTTTATATATTTTGACGGCAGAGACAGGGAAAGCGACAGAAATATCATATTTAGATGCTCGGTGATTGGTTCCTTTTTTCTGGGGTTTCATATTGTGACAACAGGGATCGTGTGACTATGAAACAAAAGAGAAAGAACATCAAAACACTCGGCAATCTTATTAATAACTCGGGGGCTACGCCCGCTCGTACAATTGTTCGACTTTTTCTATTACATAACGTATAATTATTGTTGACAATCTGGTATCATCAAAAAGTCATTTCGTCTCTCTGAAGAAAAAGCCAACCCACGCCACCCAATATCTCATATGCCCTCTTTCATTTCCGTAATTTAGAAATGCCAGTTACAGCTGGCCTGACCTTTAGGCCTTATCTACAAATCTATATATCCATACGGATTGCCAATAACACGGCTCCCAAGAAGCGCTCTGTAGGAGCACATTTGTCTCGGAACACATTTGTCTCACGATGTGTGACCGATGTGCTCGTAAACATTCATGTTTACGACAAATTGGAAATGAGACAGATGTGTTCGACCAGCAATAGAAAGGACACTCAAAGCACATTTGTCTCACAGTCTTTCATAAAATTCTAAAAAGGTTATAATTATGCTCGTCCATATACCGGCTATCAGCAATTGTCCTGTGTTTTCTGTATTTATAATACCGTTTTTAGGTCACTTCCGGTCAATCAAACACTTCCTGCCTCTGCATAGGAGTCACATATTAACTTAAAGAATATCCCTGTTCTGTATGTCACAATGAAAATTTCTTCCAGTACAGTATCCAGAGCCCAAACATATATACAGAGTGTCCTTTCTTATCGTTATTGATTGTGGATGCTTTAAGCTTTATAAATGATTTAAAAATAGTCTAAGCAATCTACGGTTGCATAAACGGGACATAGTATTTTCTTATTTATTACGTGCGCAAGCGATAGCTATTACGTGGCCATCCGATACTAATACTATTACGTGCGCAGCGATAGCTATTACTTTCTAAAGGGATAGTTATTGCGTGTGCACGAGGATAAGTACATATTCCGCATTTGGGCTTCCTCGCATGAATAGTTAGACGCCCCAAAGGAGTGTCGAACCTACAGCGGTTAGGGGGAAGTGGTTTTTTGAAATCACTCGGACACGGAGGCCACTTCATGATCTCAGGAAGAAAATGAGAAAATCATCCCATACATATTTTGTTTTCGTCAGATAAAATATCGCCATTTTCCGACAGATCCGCCATTGAAAAAGCTCTTACAACGTGTATGAGTCCCTAAAATAATCCGGGTAATGCAATAATTATGGAATATCGGCCTCGCATAATCGGGCGAGACGGGAAATTCCGACGAGACACGAATCGATGCACGATATTGTAACACGAGATCTCGCAATGTCGAAGTATCCCGTACCACGAGATGTCAAAGTAGAATATCGTGCCTCACGTCATGTTTTGTCGAACTTTCGCTCTTCATGTCGTGTCTCTCGGTAAAATATCGCGCATCGCTTCGTGTCTGTGCTTCTCAAAGGTTTGACTATGGTAAAGGAACCAGCGCGGAGCCATCTGGCCTTGTCGTAATGGACACCATTTTTTCTCTTAGCATGGCCACAGACGTCTAAATTTAAGCTATTTTCTGTTTAAATTTCATCATTGATATCTTTTTGACATTTTGGTAAAATTGTACTTGATAAAGTGAATTTCAATTTTAATATTGGAGGTTCTTCCACGTCATAGCAGATTATGTAAGTGATTTTATGTTAACAAATGTGACGCTAGACATTTTCTTAAGAGATGCATGACTCCTACTTTTATCAGTTTTATCATAACTCATGATTTGTTCTCTAAAATGAGTCTAGCTATGTTTTGTAGATCTTCGAAAAACGTCCGTTTTATATAGATTATAAAGGGAATACTATTTAGCGGTATTTGGCCTCGAAGGATTTTCTTGTCTCACGTCGAAGTACGAGATGCAAAGCGAGGCGCGAGATTCCAGCGAGATGCGAAACGAGTCACGATATTGTATCGTTTAAACATCGCCTGATTACGTTGTTTTGTTTGGACATAAGCAACAACTTTTGTCTCTCTGATCCACTATGCACGAGGGTACAATTTTGAAAACGCGATGGTGCGATGATGAAAACACCACGGTACTATGATGAAACAACGATGGCAGGATGGTGAAAATACGATGATTCGTTGACTTGATGGTGAAAATAATATCGCGTTTTCATCATAATGTCATTGCAGTTTCATCATCTTACTAACGTATTTTCAACATCGTAGCATCGTGTTTACACCATCGTACCATCACGTTTTACCATCGTACCATTGTTGTTTCACCATCATACAATCGTTGTTTCACGTTCGTATCATCGTGTTTTCTCCATCGTACCATCGCGTTTTCATCATCGTACCATCGTGCCATCGCACTTTAACCATTGTACCAAGGAATGTCGTGCTTCAGGTTTAGCCAATCAAATTTCTTGAATTAGAGGTATTAAAATACATGTATATATAGTTCCACTGTGTAGGTTTTAGGTTTAAGATTTTATATTAAAACATTTGCAAACCTATTTATGATGAAGTAAAACGGCGAACCTCGATTCTAAAACAAAATCTACCGTGGGAAAATATGTGACAAATAATTCATAACAAATGACATGAGACAAATGTGCTTTCTTGTCCCTTAAAAAACATGAGACAAATGTGCTTTTTGTTCCCTTAAAAAACTTGATCGGAGCACATTTGTCACACAAATGAGTGTTTTGGGGTAGACATTTGAGGTCCCATTTGTCTCACGTGGGACAAATGCGAACGCATCGGTCTTACGTAAGACAAATGTGTTCCGAGACAAATGTGCTCCTACAGCGCTCTCTATTTTTGACGCTTCTAAAATACAGTAACCTATGTTATACTTATTCCAGAAAAAAAAATCATGAATAATTTATCTGATCCTTAACTGAACCTCCCTTCATAAGCGTATTCGATTTGGACTATAGTTAATATAACCCGCTAGCACATAATCTGGAGGATGGTCGCGATCAGACACGTAAACCAGCTCGGCCTGCGCTTCCGTGTAACCGGAACAAACATGATACAGTTGGCTGTTTGATGATTTCGGAATTTCGATTTTGGGATCCGTGTACTTTTACCAACAAAAACAAAGGCAGATTAAATGTCAAAACAAAGAAAATGATTCACATAAATTCAGTACATTGTATAATAAATCTATAGCTAGCACAAGAATGGAGGATCTGCTGTCTCGAGCTCATTATGATGGAATGGAATTTAGATTAAATGTTTTTGAACGTTCTATAATGTACAGACGATTTGAAGTTTCCAGAATTCATTTTGTTATAAATGTTTAAAGAACTTCCAGGGAGGCTGGCATTTTTTCAACTTTATTTATAACTTATAAACTTTTAAAAACGATGTTTAATACAAGATTGTGTGTATTTTCACGAGCAATTGTTGAGATATCAATAAGAAAATGTTTGAAAAAAAATCGTATTCTATTTCCTCACAACCCAAGTAAACCCCCCCCCCCCCCGCCCCCCCCCGACAATGTTAGAAGAAGTGATCAAAGCTATTCTGTATTTTATTAGCACATAAAAACAGTACTAGAGATAAACATGTATCGAAAAAGAGGAAAACACTATTGGCATGAAATCCGCGTTGATCGAAAAATTATGTCGTGTATGAACTGGGAAATCCACATGTGTTACAGCACAGCCATAATGTTACTATTGAACTCTTGTAACTACAAATACAAGAGACTGTATATCAATAGCTTTGAGGCTTTTCCCAATAATAATCAAGTTATTCTATTTATACAGATGATTGTTCCCAACTGTTACAACAGCAACGCTTACCTAGGAATTCTTTTGATAAAAGAATATAAATTTTAACATGAATTGTCTCCGTATTTTAGAAGTATGGGTCTTCATACACGAGTTAATTTAGATGACATACATCATGATTATTACTTAAACTGATCTGGCAAACAAATCTACATGTATACATAAATTTCTAAATCAATGGCTACAGTAGATATCGTTTACAACGTTTTGGCACTATCGCCGACGGACGGCCATTGTAGGTGCCCGTGACCCGCCCGGGAGAACCATGTCACGGGTGAGGATCCATATTTTTTACGAAAATAGGTAAAAAAAATATGGAATTTGGAATTTAGTTTCTCCAGGGAGTAGGGCTTCATGAGTTACATTTTTGCTAGGTTTTCACTAAAACCTACCAGGACCTTGATGAGTTATTATAATTTTCCACCCACAAAATAGCCAAATCTAAGAAGACCATGACCCGCTTACCCAACCCCCCTCTGGATCCGTGCATGTCTGGTGGAGGGTTTGACCCCCATCCCCTCTGGATCCGCGCATGTCTGGCGGAGGGTTTGACTTGGACGGTACATCTGTCAAACGGTATCATTGGTTAGCCTTTATTAAATGACCTCGATAATTTCGAAGACAACATTGCTACGTGTTTTATCATAAACGTCGCCAATTGTCTCCGTAGTTTTTTTTAAGACAAACACTTCATTAATATTATTATGCTTGTAATTGCTAGAGAAAACATGGATAAAGATAGCTTAGTGAACAAGGCATCTTGGCAGCAGGCCGTGATTGCGTAATTACGTCATGACGCAAAAAAAAACAGAATATTAATACCAGGTATTTCATGGCACGATAATGAAGGTGTTTGTATAAAAACTACTTGTTCATCTTTTACTCCCATTAATTAGTATTTGATCACAGGAATCAATTTGGCAGTGTACTCTAATTGTACATTGTTCATTTACCAGCAACTCGGTCGTGAGTTGAAACAATCTTAATTAACAAATATTAAAACATGCTGTGCTAGACAAATAAATCTTTCGTATAAGCTTGACTTGACTAGTACATACCTTAGTTATTCTCGTTGCTATTCGGCAAACTTCGTGACATTACGACAAATTTCGTAACTTTCCGTGTCGAGTACATAAATGATTAAACAAATGAGTTCACCTAGATTTTTTATTCCTCCTGATCACATAGACGCTTATTTGATCTTAATAAGACACGGAAAGGGGCGAAGTATGCCGAAATGTTCCAAGATTATGAAGGCGAAGTATGTCGAAATTTTCCGGATTTATAAGGGATTGGATCAGCAACTTACCAATTGTGTGAATTGATGATACGTAACTACATTGTAGCCAACATATAACAGCAAATATGATCTTTGTAAAGACTTGAGCGTCCATTTCTTTTTCTTATTTCTATCCTGAAAAATAAATGAGATGTAACTTTAACACTATCCCTACTGAATTTGTTTTCTAGCTTCCATTTTTTTTTTTGAATTTAACATTTTCAGTTTGGGGGATATTATGATAAAAATTAAACAATATGGAGCCTGGTCAGACTTAATGTGTCTGATTCTAGCAGGGTAACTTTAAACTAAATGGTAGCCTCTACAACGATATGATTATAATTTATGAAGTTATCGAAGTATAACGGAAATGGCCTAAAATATAACGGAAAGGGCCGAAACTATAACGGAAAGAGCCGAAATAATGCGGTTGGTTACTTTGAGTCGTTTCTCTGGGCAAAGAAAATATGGATATATGATAATTGATTTCGAATACTGTCCGACATTAACACAATTAAAAATAGTACAAATAAATGACACTTCAATACGGTAGTCAAAATCAAACTGATTTTCAATAATGATTAATAGAATGATTTTACAATTGATGAAAAATATTTGCCTGTTTATCAATTCGTCTGTGAATACCAGTCGATAGGCAGCAAATATGTTGTTAAATTTTATTGATTAGAATTTATATATGACAATATAGGGTGCACAAATGAAATCGATAACAAATTCTGTTCAGTTCTGTTACGTGACAATGATATTACTGTATGGTGATGTATTATTGATTATGTTGACAATTTCAGAGTTAGGTCACGTGATGGCAGATCTATGCATTTACTGCCAAACATTGGTTTATCACGGAAGCATTATATGACACTTCTGTGTCACAACTAAATTAGGCAAACACTTGGGAATACATCCACACATCACGCGATGTCATGTTCAAACAGTGTTTGGGAATAAAGAACAGATGCGCAGAATGGATAGACACTTGAGAGACTTTAAAACATTTAAATATCAAATGATAGCAAGCGTGCTAGTACATGTATAAGTACTGGGAACGCCATTTCTGAGCAACAACTGTTAGAAAATGTATCAAAAATGCCTGTTTTTACTCTTAAAATGCATTATACTTCAAAAATCAATAATTCTAATTCTGTAAAACAGATAATATGTGTTTAACAATGATTAATAATAGATTCTAAACAGAAATTTAACCGTTAACCATGTGCCATTCACTCATAAAGCGTATAAAGCTATATATTTTTTTATAAAATCTATCAAAAGATTATACAATATTATATATTGTACATGTATATAGTTTCCATGAACTTATGGTCGATACTTGAAAATGTTGAAATATAGAGTCTCTGTAATTTTGACTTCTATACAAAACAATAAATTACTAAAATCATATCAACATTATTCAACAATTTTAAGCCCTATATTTAACATACATAAATATTGTAGAAATGTTCAGGACCATACTATAATGCTGCTATTTTAAGCAGGATTTTTAAAGTCATTTTAACCGCTAAGTAATGATTTTATGCATGCGCCATTTGCATTTCTAGAAACATACAAACATATTTTTGTTTCACGTGGGTATTTGAAAATATTCTTTTTGTTTCAAAATTAAATCGTTAATTTTGTTCACTATCAGCTTTAGATATGTAGCTTTACACACTTTAAGAAATAATGTATGTTTTTCTCTTTATACAAAGTTAAACAACCTCATTCACGTTATTGATTTCCAGTACTGTTAGAAAATTGATTTTTAGATATCCCTGGGGTGTATTTCGTTCAACTATCATCAGCGATGCATTCCTGTTTGCTGTATAATGAAATCAAAATTTTATACAGGAAAAAAATCGACCAAAAATCGATCACAGATAATGGTCAATGACTTCAGCAATTTTACTTGATGATAGCTTAAGAATATCAGCTATATTTACCCAGATCCTAATAAAAAAGAAAGCAATTATCCATTAGTCTAGAAACCAGACCACTGAAAAAGTGTACCATTGTCTATACAAGGCCAGGAGTACAGAATCGGGACGTTCTAATCCATCAACGTATGGCATATAGTCTGTCCACTCACACAGTCAAATTAATTCGAGAAAAGAAACAGCAAGTTCCTTACACATAGTTTAAATAGTTTCAAAATTCAACTGTCATCGTAAAGTTTTTCCTCGAGAAAAATACAGCATGCGTTGGAATGCATGTATACATTTGTTTACACATTTGTTTATTTGTCTTAAAAGCTACTTTATCCCTAAAGAAAGCAATAAAACAGTCTATGTGTGATCTAAAAGATATGCCACATGCTTTAAACTTCTTGCAAGCATTTGCCATCACTAACGATTCTCTTGAAAAGCCAATATTTAGCTGCAGGGACTTGGTAACAGATTTACAACAAAACTTTTCCGTTAATTGGCATCAATTTTTTACCCGTTTTAGGGGCAAAACTTGTATTGATATATCCCCCTGCAAGGAAACTTGACATTCTAAAAATAAACAGCACGTGCATGAGAGATAAAGAGGAAATAATATTGCAAAATCGATAGTTTTGTTTGTTTGATTGGGTTAAATACGTCACAGTATAGGTCATATCGCGACGTTCCAGCTTTACTGGTGGAGGAAGACCTCAGGTGCCCTTCCGTGCATTATTTCAGGCACCTGAGTAGAACCACCGACTTTCCGTAAGCTAGCTTGATAGCTTCCTCACATGAAAGAATCCAAAGTCCCTGTCGGGATTCGAACCCACAGCGGTGAGGGGCAGGTGGTTTGAAGTCAACGACCTTAACCACTCGGCCACGGACGCCCCACAAAATCGATAGAAACAGATTTGAAATTTACGAAGTTAAAGGCACAATTTGTCTCAGAAATTTAATAAATATTTCCATTTCTTCTTTAGAAGAGGCAAACATGTGTTGACTAATGCTTTAAATAGTAGAAAAATGTCAAATGCTTATTACCGATAGTAAGTTAATCTGAGTGTTAAATAATTTTCCAACGTAAGCAAAGTAATAGTTTAACTTCAATACAAAATACCTACTCATTACAACTGTATTTATTAAGCAAAATAAGTTAAAGCTGTTTCATCATATGGCAAACGAGTACATTTTCAGTAATCATTGCAACAGAACACCAAAAAATAAAGAGGTTTTGAGAATAGATGAAAATAATAGCATTTATGATACTTAATGGACCTTTAAAAACAGAAACAAATGGAAAACGTGGTTCATGTCGGAAGGAGTATTTATTACAGTCATGCCGTTTAAAACAAACATGAATTACAACAACGGCTGTCAATAATGCATCGATTTCTTTAAGTATCTTGTAAAAGATTGAATTCCAGATTTAGTCTAGATACGCTATCTGGTAATTTCCGTGGTGTGGGTGGATGTATATGCGAGTGTCTTTGCGTCTGTGATTTAATAAAAAGTTTACCAGATACATATATGAGCCGCGTCACGACAAAACCAACATAATGGGTTTGCGACCAGCATGGATCCAGACCAGCCTGCGCATCCGCGCAGTCTGATCAGGATCCATGCTGTTCGCTATCAGTTTCTCTACTTAAAATAGCGTTGGTAAGCGAACAGCATGGATCCTGATCAGACTGCGCGGATGCGCAGGCTGGTCTGGATCCATGCTGGTCGCAAACCCATTATGTTGGTTTTGTCATGACGCGGCTCATATAATGTTCTATCTATCGAGGCATTTACAAATGATACTATTCGGGCTCGTTATGTAAATTTGAAAAAAAAGTTCATGCACGTGTCTGATTTGGTTTTAAACTGCTAATGATAAATGGCGACTTTCTAGCTTTGCAGCTTGAGAGAGACCTCGTGTGTGTTACCTTGGTTTAAATTAATGTAAAGGTATAAAGTATAAACGAGGTCCCTTCGTATATTATTTCAGACCCGAGTACAACCACCGACCTACTGTTAGCAAGCTGGGCAGATTCCTACGCTCCCTTCGCAGCTCACTGAATGCAATCACGTTAAGAAAGTGAGCGATAGTGGAACATTCGACCGATGCGCAGGAGAGTAGGCAGATTCCTAACCAGGCGGGATTCAAACCCTCATCGATAAAGGGGCAAGTGATTTAAAAGTCAGAGGTTATGGTCGCTGTTTCATAATTTTGCTTCATAATAATTTCTATATGTGCAATATAATACAGTTAAAACTCTTTCATATACATACATATATACACTAGCTTGTTAAACGAATATATGATGAGGTGTCGTTTCAATGAATAATATTATGTAAATTTTGGTCACTCTGAGGGATGTCCTTGATAAGGCAGACACCAGAGATTGAGATGAAATGTCATAGACAGAGAGAATGTGTCACTTAACTTGATTTTTTGTCATCAATGTGTCAGAAAGACAAAGTTTTTTGTCGGTGTGGCATAATTCCAGCGTTTTTCAGACCGATTCTTGACACCTTTTAAAAACTTTCAGGAAATCTAGTAAATTAAAATATCAAATGCATCCCACAATCGTAATTGTCGAGCTGAATGTTGGACAAATTATTGTCAAGCCTTGACCATAACAGCAGTGGTCTTGATAAGTCTTAATCTTTAAAAAATATCAACAATGTTAAAGGCCCATTATGCCCCGTAAAATGATTTCTATTTTTATTTCTCAAAAGATTTAGATTTTTATTTCTTATGTACCTTTTAAGTTGCTCATTGACTTAGTTATTTCCTGAAACATCTCTTTTTCTGTTAAGTTTTGGCAATTAGTACAGTAATATTGATTAAGTACTCTGCAAGGAAGTCAAAATAATACTTTGTTTACATTTTGCTACTTTTATGACAAAATATTTCACATTTAACTCTACTTTCTTCTGGTTTCAAGAAACTAAAATGTTTTCAAATCAATATGTAAACGTAATGAACTTTTTGTTTGCCCTTTCTAAAGAAGTAAAAATTTATTCGTTTCTGAGTTTTAGAAACAAGAAACCCGCTAGTTAGTATATCTATCGTGATAACCTCCATACACCTTTGGGTAACCTTTAAAAGAGGGGAACCATAAAGTTTGACATTTTGTCTTAAAACACTAAATATTCGAATGCTTCATCACAATATCAGAACGTTCATCTCAAGGGATAATCTAGCTAGAAATGTCAACCTTATGTCTCGAATTGATTTTCACGAGACATCGCGAGAAGTTATTTAAAACGATTGTCATGTCGTAAATTCGATACCATGTTCTTAATTGCACGAAGAAAAAGAAGTTTTCGGAACATGTATTTACCGCGTGTAATTAGTTGTCCCATAATGGAATCGATAGTAAACGGGAATTTCTAGTGCTTGAAAAGATTATTGAAGCCCTTGATTTGTAAGCATCTTACCGGGTCGAGCCACCCTGGCATACCTGGTGTCGCCTCTTACCACTAAATCTATGTAATAACAGGAACTCTGTTATCATTGGGGATGTGCTTTTATTGTTGTTGTAATTTTGTTAGCGTTAGATTTTTGGACGTGATTCTCGTATACAAGAATTCATTTACATAAAATTGTGCTGCCAAATAAGATTTCCTTATTATAAATAACGACAGTTCAGTTCGCGCTGCCTGTAGATATCCATATTAATCGATACAGATTGTGCTGATGTAAACAAATATTACATAAGACATCAGATATACCGCTGGGATAGGTGTGATCCAATTAACACCGGAGCGACAACAAAGACAGTAATTAACGATCGATTTAAACATTTTAACCGATAAACATTTGTTGTTTCTTTTCCGTCGATTTAACGAAAACTGTATCTTAAAAGTCTCTTTACCGGACTTAATTTGACTTCCTTCAAAAGCTATTTCAACTCCTTCTATTACAATGGTATAGTGGTTTTAACTTAAAATTACCAAACCATTCATAAAGTCTGATGTGAATCAAATACCCTTTTCAAGATAAACGTAGATATGTATTTTTAACTCGATTGACTATTAAAATTTTAAATATTATCAAACGTAAAAGAGTGATTTATTTGCAATGCTCTGAATTCGACACAGCCGAAGTGTCCCATCCCACTCCCTCCCATCCACTACGGTCACAAACACATGCTGAACTCAGTAGGAAAATCATCTAATTTCAGATCAAGGTCTCGATAGTTCGAACCTCGGTTGAGGCGAAATTTCTCATGGAAAATTGATCTCGAATATTAAGTACGTGTATAAAATAAAATTCTGACTGGATACGACAAAAAGACAAAATGACGCACGAATACATCGTGGATTTAATATTCTTATATTAAATAAAAGTGAAATATACAAAGTACTTTAAAAGTGTAACGTATCTGAAATTTATCTGAAACGATCAACTCAAGTTAATGTATAGAAATATCCCCAGGCACGTGATTTAGACTCACACATTATATAATATCTTATACATGTACAGAGCATGCATCGATCAAAGGATCAAATGGTTTACTTACTTACCAAAATTATGCTTATTTCAAGTGCCTTTTAAGAAACAAGAACGTCTATGACTGTTGAATAAGAAAGTAATTTGTTTGTAATGTTTCTCCTAGAACAGAAATGAGAATTACAGCCAATAAAAGCAAGTCTGGGTTTTGTTTCGTGTGACATAGTTAGGTGGAAAATCTACTTTATTATCTTAGAACATGAAAAGTGAAAGTCTTCACACTTATAGGTAATTATTATTACCCCTTACCACACTAAATATCTTAAAATGGACTTGCCTATCTTTCAATCTCAACACAACGATTTTTTTACGGAAAAGTTCAAAATAAAGTATTGGTCGAATAACGGACAGTGCCGACCATGATCAGATGGAACGGGTGTACCGACTAATCTTGGCCTGAAATGGTCACATGGTGAGATTCTGTAGCCGCCGGCTGACTAAAGCCGTCCTGCTAAATAAATAAATAAATAAATAATGCAGTATTTTGTATCGACTAAAGATTCAGAAGGTTGACGGTTCCACTTGACCCCCTCTGTATTTAATTTGCAGAGTTCATCTCAGATACTCCATAGATTAGAGACCTGTTGACCTCAAAATTTCCGACAAAAATATGAGAAAATATAAAGCAGTAACCTAGGATTTCGTTCTGAAAGCATAAAGATATAGACCTTATAAAGCAGTTAAGTGATGAAACTGAAGTCATTTAAAGCTTTAAAATCGGACAAAGATAATTACTTACGATAATTTTAAGTCCCGGGTTAATGTAAAAAAGTTCCGGTACGGCGATTGAGGAAATATGATGGCCCCAAGCAGCTTCCATACTTTAATATACATATTTACACTTGACCTAGTAGGAAGCGATGTTTTTGGCGTCTGCTACTGTAACAGTCTGCTACATCTATGGCGTTTTCATTTTGAAAATTACTCAGTAACAAGCTAACTATCTGCTATTTAAGACCGTAAACGAAGAATCGGGTTAACTAAAGGTCAGATACTTTGGATTTAGACGGATTGAGCGTTCCATACAATCGGAGTCTCTTAGTCATAATTGGAATTGGTACTCTCATTGAAAACCGACGACAAATCAATTTTCTCGCAGTATCCTCAATAGCTCATTTACCACCTATGTTATAAAATTTAGACACTGAGTAAATCGATATACGAGACATGGATTCATAAAAATGAAATCAATGATCTGAAATTTCGTGGGAAAATCATCAATTCGCCGCCTCTTTGTGGATCTAGAAATTCAAAATACGTAAAGCGTTCTAGAAAATATCACAGAATGGATCTCTTATGATTATATATGATTGTTGGCACTGGCATACATACACACGTGTATATGTCAGAAAAATCACAAATAACAGCAACTTAATTGATATATAGTAAAACAAATCATTATTCACTTACCTTCGAATTATAGTGTGTAAAATAGTATATATCCTTGCCTTAACGTATACACCCTTGAAACAACCGGGTTACTCGCTTACCGACTGCCTTTTTTTCCTGAAAGAAGAGGCTACCAGCAGGGAGTTTTGATTTTTTTCGATATCCAATATTTATAGATGTTATTGAAAAAAATAGAATGGCACACAGATGTGCGATTAACCGTAGGGAAACACACAATGGAATGGCAACCGCTGCTTTCAGTAGATTGGACGCTGAGATTTGAGGCCACGCAAGGGATAATTGATTTTTCGATACCGCAAGGGGAAGAGATTGGGGGTGTCATAAGTGTTATCATATTTGAAGAAAAGGCGCGAGAAATGCTGGCATGGTTTATTTTAATGGTGTCAATATGACCTAATCTGTACAAGATCTGAAAGATGGGACTGTCTTTTGACTTTTATCAGATGAAAATACATGTGTTTTGTATTAATACACAAAAACAGAAAACATTTGACGTTGATAAAATCAGGACTACTGTATATATTTATAATATTATATATCTTTTATGTATATCTAATTAAATTATCTTAATAAATATATAATACAGTAATTATGAAGAAATGAAGACAACAATTAAAAGATTTTAGAGATACACGCGTCCATAATCAAATTGTAATACATTGTATATTTATTTAAATACATTTCTTATAAATGCACCACAAGATGCAGAAAGAGAAACTTAAATACATTTCATTGCTGAGAATTAAACAATATGGCTTTGATTACACATAAGAGAAATACGGCAACAGAAACCTGTGAAAATCAAGATTTCGACGTATCGATTATGTGAAATTTTATTTAAACTTAAAGATGATCCGAAATATCAAGACAATCAAACTTGAGAGAAATGTATTAATTTTTATGAAAAGTAAAAAGATTCAAGATTTAAGTAATAATTTACATTTTATGTGCGCTTTATGACTGATTTTACTGTAATATGTATCACCAAAATTATTTCTACTGCGTGACTAACGCAGTAAGGGTACTTTGCATATTTTGACCAAGTTCGTATATTGCGTTAAGACATAATTATACCTGATTTTGACCTGTTATTGGTTATTTCCGTGAATACATAATAACAATGAATGCAATTAGAAAACTACTTTCTTTTATCACACTTCACAATATTTCACTTTTAAATACATTTTCAAGATTTTTTTCATGAAAATTAGCACGAATCTGGTATTGGTTTAACATACATATATACTTGTCGGCTTTTAACAAACATACTTCTAGCCGGAAAACATGCACGTGTTGTAAACATGTCATTTCGCTCATCCAATATTTATAGAAGAGCAAGCACGTGCGACGTTTTTTTTTCTTTATTATGAAATATACCTTTTGTAGTTTGTCACAAACTGTGTAGCCTCTGCTATGTACAGACATGACTACAAAACACTACTAAACGTTTTTCTTATTCTTTGTTATTTTTCATTTAAAGAAAGAACTGACGACAGTTAGTGTCTTAAATTTATTCACTTGTCAATTTTTTTGTATTTTTCATTTAAAGAAAGAATGGTCAACAGTTAGTATCTTAAAATTATTCAAGTTTTGTAGCACCAAGAACTTCTTTCTGTAAAACATTTTAACTTTGTTAACCCTTTCACTGCCATAGGGACGGCGTATTTGCCATATGGACGGCTTTTGCCGTTTCCATAATAATAATAATAATAATAATAATAATATTAATAATCATAATGAATATATAGATAATTATACCATCGACAATAATTATTATTATACTAGCATATTTGGAAACATATATGATTATTATAATACTAATAACAAATAATAATAATAATATTAATTAATAATATAGTAATTTCTTAGAAAACCTTCTGGCAAATAGGTGATCAATAAATAAATAACTCTCTGGCAGCGAAAGGGTTAAGGTCTTTATATTATGTATCATGGTCTTCCATTACAAGAATAGATAACAGGAACTTAAATTTATTCAAATTTTGTAGCACAAAGAACTTTCTCTGTAAAACATTCAAATTCGTTGAGGTCTTTATATTATGTACCACGTCATTGTTAATTGTATTGGCTATAATGTGTATTGTCATTTTATGCCAAATAAAGAAAATGTTATGTTATGTGTTATATGTTATGTTATGTGTTATGTTATGTTATGTTATGTTATGTTATGTTATGTTATGTTATGTTATGTTATGTTATGTTATGTTATGTTATGTTATGTTATGTTATGCTATGCTATGCTATGCTATGCTATGCTATGCTATGTTACTATGCTATGCTATGCTATGCGCTATGCTATGCGCTATGCTATGCGCTATGCTATGCGCTATGCTATGCTATGCTATGCGCTATGCTGTGCTGTGCTGTGCTGTGCTGTGCTGTGCTGTGCTGTGCTGTGCTGTGCTGTGCTGTGCTGTGCTGTGCTGTGCTGTGCTGTGCTATGCTATGCTATGCTATGCTATGCTATGCTATGCTATGCTATGCTATGCTATGCTATGCTATGCTATGTTATGTTATGTTATGAACCCTTCCGGCCGTTAAATCAAATATTTTACGATAATGGCTAGACAAATAAAACATATTAATTTATTCCATGGGTAGTGTCCTAAATCGTCCGTACCAATAACGCATTCCTATTAGCACGTGTTTTTCACAGATATACATACACGTATATTAAATTTAGCTATTTGGCTTTTTAAAATAATAATTAAAAATTGGACACCGGTCTGACCATCAATGAGGGTCACATCTTTTGTTTAACAGGTTGGTTTTGCAGTACTTAGCCTCTGGATAAGTATCCACACACTGCCAGTTTTCAATCACAACCACTTTTCAATCACCCCTAGAATTTTTTTAATTTTGACCTTATTTGTCATGTAACCAAACTGTAAGCACATCTTGTATTCCCCTTGACTAAATTTATCAGCAGCAATGTCAATTTAGGCGATAAAAAAAGAAAATGCTAGCATTTTAGTTCAAAATATGTAAAACGTGTGTTTTCCACTAATCCTTTATTTACACAGTTACAAATCGCAATAATTTTCTAAAAATAATTGATATACAGACTCAGTTTTTTGTCAGTCTGCAGAAATGGATATTAAGTTGGACAACTGTTTCAATATCATGAAGTCATAATGTATACTGCACTTCAAAAGCTGTAATTTTAATATGTACATATTTTACCCTACAGTTCTTAATTTGAAGGTAATACATCAGTAAAGTAACAGTCACTTAACCAAGGAAAAACATTCTCTGTGATAACTTTTCAGTACGCAGTCACTAGAATGGGGTCATATAGACCCTAAGATCCTAAAAATTTCACAAGAACATGCTTTTTCTGTTATGCAAATTGAAATGTACATCCATACCCCAATTGTGACAGCTTTACCACTGCAAATAAATATCTAGATTGAAAAACGGCATTATAATTAGGTTAAAATTGTTTATTACCATTTATCTGAAGTTGAGTTTGTCAAAATTTCTCCAAAATACAGAACTAATTATATTTTAACATTGTATGACATTTTTTATGTGATACAGTTTATATTTTGTTAACTGATTGAAAAGTGGTTGTGAAATTTTGAAGAACAGGAAAATGGGTCAGTAATGATTTGTCCTCGATTCATAGTAATAATACAAGTAAAATTTTAAAAAGTTGGTGCATTTATTAGCTGAAATGATAATATTTGCAGAATTGAAAGAGAATTTTTTTTATATATAATTTCACTGTCAGTTATTGTTGAAAAATCTGTTAGCTGATCGGAAAGAGGCAGTACGGGGATACATAAGGGAAACTACTCTATAAAAATAAATAGTAACGTTATTTAAAAAAAAACAGAATTACCTCCCTTCTATTAATAAACAAAGCTTAATTTGGTTGCTAGGTTAGTATTATACAATGAAAAAGGGTATAAAAATGTGTAAACTTCAGATAAATATCTGAATAACTTATAAAAATGTTTTTTATAATACATATTAGTTGTCGAATGGAATAATTTATAATATAGTACTTCTTTCCACCAACTTATGTCAACAGTTGTCGTGGCCGAGTGGTTAAGGCGATGGACTAGAAATCCATTGGGATCTTCCCGCGCAGGTTCGAATCCTGCCGACAACGTTATTTTTATTTCTCTTTTCCTTACTTTTTTAATATTTATTTTTGAATCACATTCATATTTTAATATACACTCCAGTTCATCAAAAATTACTCGACATTTATTCGTTATGACAATTTTTTAACCAGTCAGTGTCACTGTTAATTACAATGGTTTTCTTTTCCGAAAATAAGCTTTCAATTCCGAGGAAATTGGTCAGAAGTGTAGATGGATTGATAAAAACACGAACAAAGCTGACTTATATAAGGTATAAACAAAAATCAACAACAACAAAAAAACTCATACAGACAGGAAGAGTTCCGCAAAGATTATTAATGCGTAAGTTAGCGTTAATTGTTTTTTTTAAGTTCAATGTCTCGCTTGATTTTACATAAGTCTTTGTTTTAATAGCAAACATGTATATCCTAACCTTTTCTTTAATGTATGAGTATTTTAAAGTTTTAAACACAATAGAGACTACACAACTGTTTGGTCACGAACTTGTGTATTTCCAACTTGTATATTTCCTATTAAGCTACGCACACGTGTATCATTAAGCTACGCACTTGTGTAATTCCCCTTTAACGCATAAACTCTGTGTATTTCCCCATTAATCCACGAACTTGTGTATTTCCCCCATTAACCTAGAACTTGTGCATTTCCCTATTAACCAACGGCCTTGTGTATTTCCCCATTAACCCATGAATTTTTGTATAAATCTATTCAATCAATGAGCTTACGTAACCCCCACCCCCATTAAACCATTTAACTTGTTCATGTATATTTCCCCACTAACTTCAATAACTTCAGTATTACCAACATTAACTCCTGAATTTGTTTATTTATAAATCCGTTCAATCGATGCGCTTGAGAATTACTCCTATTAACACATGAACTTGTAAAATTACCCATTAGGCATTATCAAATTAACTCATGAACTTGTATAATTACCCATTAGGCATTATCAAATTAACTCATGAACTTGTATAATTACCCATTAGGCATTATCAAATTAACTCATGAACTTGTATAATTACCCATTAGGCATTATCAAATTAACTCATGAACTTGTATAATTACCCATTAGGCATTATCAAATTAACTCATGAACTTGC